GCGAGAAACGTTGGAATTCTCTGCCAGATGCCAGGGAGTTGGCTCTCGTTATGGTTAGCATTTTGTGTTGAGATTTAACTAACATAGATATATCAACTGATGTTTCTTGGAACAATTTTGCAGATATGTTGGTTGAACTGTCAAGAAGAGAGAAAGCAGCTAAAATTAAGCCAGATCCTGATATTGACATCTTCATGAAGGTAAAAGACTATTACTATATAATGTTTAGATGTTGTTGGACTAAAACTCCCAATGATACTTTTAACATTGTGTGATATTGTTAGCTTTGGACCAAGCTTGCACGATTTTCCCCAAAAGATCTCATACCATCAAGAGATCCTTATACCTTATATGTAGGCTCTCAATCTTTACAGCTACCGATGCGGGACTTTGTTTGTTCACCCAACAATCTCCCTTTAGAACGTGGCCCACTAACATGATACACAGGTCTCCCCCTTAAACCAAGTTCCACGTGGCCTATTACCACGATCCACGCGTCAATTTTCAAGATTCATTGTATGCCACCCAAATCATCAAAGTACCTATGACAACGAAGCCCGCAACTAGCTTTTTCTTGTATGCGCATCTCCAAGCTCGTAAGGGTAATCAAATCGAGCCCCCCAACATCACTCTATCATCACCATACTTGTCTTGTTGAACCTTAGCTCTGCTACCAATTGTTGGGCTAAAACGACCCAATGATACTCTTAACGTGGTGTGATATTATCCCATTTGGGCCAAGCCCGCACGGTTTTCCCCAAAAGGTCTCAGACCATTAAGAGATACTTACCCCTTATATGTAGGCTCCCAATCTTTTCAGCTACTAATCTCGCCACCTACCTTTACAGACAATCTCGCCACCTACCTTTACAGACCGGATACAAAATTACAAAGGAGAAACTGTTTGAAACAAATTGAAGAATAGTATAAACGGTAAAGGTTTTAGAAAAAAAAGAAAAAAGAAAACAAGTCTACTAATTCCTAAAAAGAGCACATAATACCTTTCCGAGGAAAGTAAAAGGAAAAGACAATACCAAAAATTAGCTGGTATCCGTAGCAATTTGTTAGTAATTGAACCAAGTTGAAAACTTGCTTTCCTGAAGGCAAATGCTTATAACCACAATTATTTTGTGACAACGTAGGCAGCAGCAACAGAGGGACAAGAGGCCAATGTTGTTACAGATTATGTTCTTAAGGTAATAAAAATTATGTCCAATAATTTTCTCTTCATTTTCCATAATGAAAAGGTAGAAGAAATTTGATAACAAAGTGATTTGTGTATTCCATCTGTAGCTGTTGGGGCTGGATATTTGCGCAGATACAATGGTGGGAGATGAAATGATAAGGGGTATTTCAGGAGGACAAAAGAAGCGTGTGACAACAGGT